GGTATATTGTAAATCATGTTCCGTTTTGGTGTCACCACTTCTCGTGAAATTATTGCAGTCTAAAATCCAAATTTGTAAGTAGTGGAATGGAGCAAATATCCCAATAACTTTTTTAAATATCAAAGCATTTACCAGATTTTCCTCAGAGAGAGAAGAAAAAAAAAAAAAAAAAAAACAAACGATAGGTATTCTGGCAAGGTAGTATTTGTTTTAGGTATCAAAATGTGTCATAGTACCTCTAAACCAATGTTATCAATAGTTGTTTCACTATCATCGTGCTTATAAAATATTTTATTGGCTAAAATATCACTGCTAGCAAATTGGTTTATTGGTTGGCCATACTTTAGTAATTGACCGTGTTGTGGTGGTTCCAGCAATCTAAAACGACAACATGTGACAATGTGACAATGAATCAGTAAACAGTTAAGTGAAAAATAAATAAGCAAGAAGACTACTTATAAGAACTATGGACTACTATAAAAATACAATTGAATAAGTGAATTAAATTTAAAATATAATAAAAAAAAACTGAACTGAAATGTCCAAGTGAATGTGGTCAATAAGTATCAAAAAGCTAAAGTTTTGTGTATAATACTGCAGAGCACTTTTATTTTTCCTCTTTTGCTTCTGATTGATCCTTTTTCCTTACTGTCAAAATATTATTACCTGAACAATATGTCCTCTTTAGAAATGTTCCTGTAATGATGTCTTGAAAAAGCATAAATATTCCAACTTTGTATCGGAGCAGTTGCTCCCTCATCCAAAACTAATGGCTCTGTAAAATGTTGTAGTCCCACGTAATGTGGCGGAGGACGTGGTCCATCTGATTGCTCGTTTGTATCTTTTTGATGCTGTCTTTGCTGGTGAGTTGTTTCATCAAAGCTAAATACTTTTAAAATTTCCCTTCAAATTTACGAATTTAATCTCTTCTTAAAAAACTTTGATATTCTCACTTTACATGAGATATAAACCTTTCAATGAGTGTATTATGATGCTTAATTATCAATTTTTCCTTCTCTCTCTCTCTCTCTCTCTCTCTCTCTCCTTTTGATCGGTAATAAGAGAAGTTGTTATGAACAAAGTAGTGATCTGATCCATATCTCATTACTATTATTGAATTACAGTCAACAATCGCAGTACGAAATCAACAAACCTGCACCATCGATCTAATAAAACTTCTCCAGCAATAGTGACATTCTCTACACAACCATCAAACAACAATCCTTTATTTTCCTTTGTACCGCCAATTTGCGCCTCTAAAATATCGCCTCTGCAGTCGATAAATACAACTTGAATTGAACAGAAGGTATAGTTTGTAGCGGTAAAGAATCCTCGAAATGGATAGCGATGTCTTATCATCTACTTATTTCCATTGATTTCTACTGTGATAAGCTTATTGTGTTCAGGTTTCTCAGAAAACTTATCTCTTGATAAAAAACTGCTTTTTGCTAAAGAAAGGATAATTCCAGTTTTGATCCCATGTTTGTCAATCAAGAAAATTTTTAATACAATAAAACATATCTGATAATTTTGCAAAATTTCTCTGACTAAGAAACTTTATATATTTGATATATGATATATTTATCAAGAATCATCGACAAAAATATGCTGTTCGGCTCACTTTGCTGACTACTATCAGCACTGATGATAAGAGAACTGTGATTTTAATTTCAAAGCTCACTTAATTGGGAATTTTGTCGGCATAATGAAGGTGATAGCATCGTCCTTGATGTATTATTATTCATTGTGATTCTCAACAAAATATCATTGGAACATCTGATATTTAACGTATTAATTATGTTGTTATCAAGTGAATCAATCAATAGAGAATCAGCGAACAAATTTCCATTTCGTTCAGAAATCGTTAAATTTCGATTTTGTGACAAAAGACGTATGATAAAATGCTTGTCACTTCCGGAAATCAAGCTCGAACTTTGATCCATAACTTGTGGCGTAGTTAGCAAAGCCATCCGAGTAGTAATTTCTAATCTCAGAGTTGAAAAGAGTAAAGATACGGGTAATGATAATAATATAGCCATTGGGAAGATTATTATAAATTCAATCTCTTCAAAGAAAAATGATGCTCATTTTTCTTCCTCTTCTCAAAGACATCCAACGATTGTAAAAGCAACTGTTAACATAGTTGAATTAACAACAAATCTCATCTCGATGATCAATCTTTGCGTTCGCAGAAAAATGAGATCATTTAGTCATTCGTTCAGATGATCACGTTTTTGCGCTCGTAGAAAACGCCACGCCACTATTGAATCATTTGCTTAATCCTGAAAGTGATGTTTCGAAGTCTCAATCAATACATTTGCAAGACATTTTCGAAATATTTAAAAGTGATCTAAAAATTGAAAGAGACAGCATGATAAAAATAGAGATAGGTCAATGTCCTGAGTCGAGAATTCAATTCGAACAAACAAAATTATCGATCCTGAAATTAGCTATCGGTCCTAAAATTGCTTTTTAATTAATTTGTAAACAAAAGCTTATTAAGAATAAATAGGATAACTTTTGTTGAGGAATATTAATTTCACCTAAAAATGTTAATCTGATTATGGCAAGAAAAATAAGCTTTGCTACCACATACTTCTGAAGCATACGCTCAGTTCATATTTCAAAAGTAAACACACACGTGTACGTATACGTAAATGTTTGTGTATGTGTGGATATGTGCATCGTATTTGCATATGTGACTCTTGAAAACAGATATTAAAAAGTTTTATCTGCAACAATAAATAAGATTAATGGTACTAATTCGAGAAGAGAAGAGCCTTAACATTCAGCCAGTACAAGAAACATACTACTTACTCTGCACAATGAATCAAGCGAATTATGACAAGATTGATTAACCAAGGAAATATAGCAGCGAATCATCGACAGAGTAAAAAAATAATTCAAAATAATGTTTACATAAATTCATCTGCACCCATTCCGGAAGAGAATTTATGTCGTTTTGAGGATCCGATGATATCATTGGGATGAGATACAGAGAATAAATTTCAGTGCTTCTAGTTATATATTTATGATTTTACTAAACATTTAACAGAATTTAGAGTAGAACAAAATTGCAATTATTTTGGTTGGAAAGCATCAAAATTAGATCAAAATAAGAAAAGTTATAATTGCTCGCTAAAAATGTATCAAATTACTAATTACATTATCATTTTAAGTGGCATCGTAAAGGTATTATTTGCACAAACCATCCCTATTAACAAATTCTTTTCGGTATCGAAAAAATTTAAATAATCAAGGGAATTAGGAGATAAAAAATGGAAGCTGAAATTTTAAACCTACGAAATTCCTTAAATTGCATTTTGCAAGCATAACTTTCGGGAGCTTCGCTCTTGTTTGTATTCAAGAAAAGTTAATAGAATTAGGAGCAGTAAAATTTAAATTATGCCTATTAATTAATGGTCTATTCTAGGAAAGCAATAACTACTTAAATCATTTTTCTATGCTAATGAAAATAACAACAATGAATAATTAGAAGAAATTTTGTCATGAATTGCAAACATAAATTATCCAGGACAATGTTAATGATGGAAATTATAGCAACGTTGTAATATCAGGTCAGTTGGTACCAATTGGTATGAATAATCTCCGCTTAGAAACCTAACGAGAGAGAGAGAGAGATGCTATTAATGTCAGTTAATTGAAATTGCAGAGATTATTTACTGTTTTAAGTACAACAATTTTTCTCTTCAAAAAGACAAATTTACGTTCAATTTTAAATTTCCCAGAAAACAAATCAAACAAAAGCAAAAAAAAAAAAGATGATAACATGGCCAAAAGTATTGAATTTAAAGGATATTCGATTGGTGAGATAATGAGTACAGCTGATCGTTGTGGTAATAGTAACATATGGCATTTTAGTCCATTTCGACTTCCTCCTTCACCACAATACCGATCCCACACTTCGGCTGTTCCGAATGAATGCGATGATCGGTGAGTGATTTGCCTCAGTTAGCACTCAGTGCGTACATCACATAAGCATAACCAATTGCTCATCATCAGATGAATGGATGGATGGATGGATGGATGGATAGATGAATTCTTCAACTATCTCTTCAATCATTCAGCTGAAAAAGATAACAAAGAAACAAATTTATTTGCGGAAGTTTCTTAAAACATTTTGCTAAACTTCCGCCACAATAACTTTCTTTTCGCGCAAAACTTTCCGACGCGTCTAATTTCTTTTTTCCTTTCTTTTATCATTATCATTTTAAATTTCTTCCTCCAATTTCGGCATAATCAACACATGGAACTCACGATAGCCTTATTCACTACACTTTCACATGCATATTAATTGCGACTGATGACTCAGTTCATTTAGTTCAAATGTCATCAAATTCGCAAATGCAAATCTTCCCAGTACGATATTTAATGAAATTGTATGAAGTTTCATTTCTGGAATCGCATAACCGGTTAAATTTACCGCGTTGTCTGCAACTCTTCAATGAATTGACTTTCATTTTCAGTAAGTGACGCCAGCTGAAAGAAATATAAGTGATGGAATGAATTATCAAACCTATGTATGCATAAGCAGCTACACTGTCCCTCTGTATGGAAAAGATTCCGGACAACAAAGAACAAGAAAACGGTACTCAGTTGAGAATTGCTAAGAATAACTAAAACATGTGGTAACTAATTTCTTTTTTTCTTTCTTTTATCATTATCATATTAAATTTCTTTCTCCAATTTCGGTGGAAAATATTTCCCAGTTTCTTTCCAAGTACAATAATTTACTAAAATTGATTGCCACCATGAAGACAGAATGTTCCGTTACGACAAGTGAATAGGCATAATTATTCACAAGACTATTCACGCCACTTGTAGAATGAGACTTTTCAATCAAAAATGGAAATTTATTAAAATTTAAATTAAAACATCCTCCAAATGAAATGTCTGTTCACATCGTTATATCTGAACAATCAAACTGCACAAACAATTGATACAAAAATAATAAAATTTACAAATACAATAGCCAATTACTACTTGTCACTTTTCATCGAATTGAATTGAATTGGAATATTTGTAAACTGGGGACTTTCGACAGCTTTCTTCTTAGCAGTAATTCGGAGAACACCCTGATCGGACAACTGTGATTCCAAACTGTCTTGCAATACGGTCTCTGGAATAGTGTACTTCCGGATGAAGTGTCGTTCCACGGAACCATGCTGATCATTTCGCTCCTCGTGGTGTCCTTCAACAAACAGTCTCCCATCCTGCATCTTCACCGACAATTCTTCTGGTCGGAAATGGCTTACATCCAATCGGATACCGAAGCTGTCCTTGTTATCAACAATCTGTAATACATTCTTACAGTTAGATAACCACATTCATAAGAGGGAGAGGTTATTGTTATCAGTGAGTAAGATAAAAGCACAGAAAATAGGAAACATAAACGGAAATACTGAACGCTATGCTTACCTCGCCGAACGAATTTTTACTCGTAGTGGAACACTCCCAGAATGGTTGAAGCGAGTCCTCGAAATCCTCCAATAATCGGTTCATCAGTCCACCAACGGTACGTCGTCCCTCAATCGGAAAATTGTGCCATCTTGAAAGAGATGGAAAAGCCAATAGCGCCATTTACGTCGTCGTTAGAGCGTCAAAATGTTGAAATTGAGATCGTCAAAAACCATCGCCTTTATATACCGCAAATAAAGAATATTCCACATTGTTCCGGAATATTCCACATTGCTCTCGATTATTCCATAGTGTTCTCCAACATTCCCTTCCAGTCTTTACGTATTCTCTACATCAGACTTTCCATCTCTGGCCAGGGAATGCAGAGACGCAGAACGACGAAAGCATTTCGTAAACAAAATGTTTATAATAAATATACTTTGCAGCAAATTTTATCATTTGAATTACTGTCACATTCATCTTTATTTGTTTGTTTGACTACTCGCCTCTCTTAAACTTCAATTTAAAAATCACTTCTTCATACGCTTCAAAATCACCAGAACGATTCATTAAAACTTCATCTTCCATTTCAAATGCAACTTTTTCGCTTCCATTTCTTCCTGTGACGATTCTTTGCTTCAAATATCCAACTGTCACTATTTCACTCTTGTCTTTCTTTCTCTTTTTCTCATTGTATTCCAACAAACCATTCGAAAAATTTGTTAATTTGCAAATTTACTGCAAATTTACTGTGCTGTAAACATTTTGTTTACGAAATGCTTTCGTCGTTCTGCGTCTCTGCATTCCCTGGCCAGAGATGGAAAGTCTGATGTAGAGAATACGTAAAGACTGGAAGGGAATGTTGGAGAACACTATGGAATAATCGAGAGCAATGTGGAATATTCCGGAACAATGTGGAATATTCTTTATTTGCGGTATATAAAGGCGATGGTTTTTGACGATCTCAATTTCAACATTTTGACGCTCTAACGACGACGTAAATGGCGCTATTGGCTTTTCCATCTCTTTCAAGATGGCACAATTTTCCGATTGAGGGACGACGTACCGTTGGTGGACTGATGAACCGATTATTGGAGGATTTCGAGGACTCGCTTCAACCATTCTGGGAGTGTTCCACTACGAGTAAAAATTCGTTCGGCGAGGTAAGCATAGCGTTCAGTATTTCCGTTTATGTTTCCTATTTTCTGTGCTTTTATCTTACTCACTGATAACAATAACCTCTCCCTCTTATGAATGTGGTTATCTAACTGTAAGAATGTATTACAGATTGTTGATAACAAGGACAGCTTCGGTATCCGATTGGATGTAAGCCATTTCCGACCAGAAGAATTGTCGGTGAAGATGCAGGATGGGAGACTGTTTGTTGAAGGACACCACGAGGAGCGAAATGATCAGCATGGTTCCGTGGAACGACACTTCATCCGGAAGTACACTATTCCAGAGACCGTATTGCAAGACAGTTTGGAATCACAGTTGTCCGATCAGGGTGTTCTCCGAATTACTGCTAAGAAGAAAGCTGTCGAAAGTCCCCAGTTTACAAATATTCCAATTCAATTCAATTCGATGAAAAGTGACAAGTAGTAATTGGCTATTGTATTTGTAAATTTTATTATTTTTGTATCAATTGTTTGTGCAGTTTGATTGTTCAGATATAACGATGTGAACAGACATTTCATTTGGAGGATGTTTTAATTTAAATTTTAATAAATTTCCATTTTTGATTGAAAAGTCTCATTCTACAAGTGGCGTGAATAGTCTTGTGAATAATTATGTCTATTCACTTGTCGTAACGGAACATTCTGTCTTCATGGTGGCAATCAATTTTAGTAAATTATTGTACTTGGAAAGAAATTGGGAAATATTTTCCACATATTGTTACCACATGTTTTAGTTATTCTTAGCGATCCTCATTATCGGTAGAGCACATCAACTGAGTATCGTTTTCCTGTTCTTTGTTGTCCGAAAATTCATCCCGGAGACTGTATATATGCAAAGTATTTCCTCGCTCACTAGATTAGTACCCATCAATCACAAGAGGTTATTGCATACTCAAGGGAACTATTTACCTTACGTAACTCCACAAAGGTAGGTTTCTTCAAAGAGTACAGCTGCACTCTTAGAAACACCATCTACTTCCACCACGTAAAGCATGCAATTTCAATTCTGAATCATATTCGGCAGATGCTTGCAAGGAAAATGGACATGGACTAATGTACATTAAAAAATAGCGACCTAATAAACAGTGCCTAGCTGCATAAAATATGATCACATTTATTGATTCGGGTGAGTCACGGTTATTATACCTCAAGAATGAGTAAGCACAATTAGCCTTTAATTAACCTATAACATGTAGCATAATTAATCTATGACATGCAGTCTTTTCGACTAAGTGAAGATATAACGCAGAAAATGAAGAAGGGAAGAGCCTGAGCATTTTCAATTTTTAATGTTGAACCTCCTCAGTCGTTGAGGGAAAATTTTCTCGGTAAGAATAACGACTAAGAATAAAGACTAGTAACATTCCAGAATTAAAATTAATGTTAAGATATTTGCTGGCATATATTTAATGAAAATTATACTCTTCTGATTTACCTATTCCGTTTTGAAGAGCTGCTATCATTAATAGATATAACAATGTATGTGTAAAGCGTTTTTGCTATAATTAAGGCATACATATACAAAAAAAATATATACATGTATAACAGTTACATGCATTAAATAAATGTGACATATATTAAAGCATATGTGAGAACTATCAAACCAACATTATCCAGCAGTTTTATTACTACTTTTCTAAAAAATGTTTGCCCTAAATTAACGTGATTTTATCGTAAAATCGTACCTCCTATTTCATAAATGTCAAATTGACTGTAGTAATACAACCGGAAAATTCAAGTGATTTATTTCCATCGCAATCTAGAATTTTTCTGCAGTCTAGTTAGCAAAACTGTCTATTGATCACTGCCTATTACTATTGATCACTTCATTGATTACTTCTGCTAATGTAATAGTTCAACTAGAGTGTTTAGTTGTCGAAAAAATTAATTTTAGACTAATTTTAGACTTTGTTAAACTAACAAATGTTTGTAGTGTAATTATAAAAATTTATTTCTTGGTTGCAAAGAGTTCTAAATCTGTTTATGATGAAATGCATACCAACATGACGGATTTCTCAGAAACCGTATGAATTCACAACTTTATAATATTTTCTACTTCCATAAATTCACTTGATGATGTATTTCAGATCAAGATGAACCAGAAAATTTCCATTCAGAGAAAAGCTTATTAATTGGTGATAAAGTATTGTTAAAGTAGTTGAACTTTATGGAAAAAACGTGAAGAAGGGAAGAGCAAAGATAGATGCAGAGAAATAATCTTGAAGGAAACTGATGAAAAGAGCTTAGAACTGCTGAAATAGAAAACTTCAAAAGGAAAAATGCGATGCAAGTCTCTTTTACAACATGCAAACTAATTACATTTTACAATCAAATTACGAGCAATCAATTTTGATAACTGATTTCAGTTCTTGAGGAGGTCATCGATATCTTTCATCATATGTTTGGGTGAGGTTGTTGGTGCATAACGCTTCACCTGAAATATTTAGAATAACGATTTGCAAATCATATAAAACAAGAATTTCCCCCCGAAAGAAGAACCTTCTGAAGGACATGAAAATACCCTTAATGTAAACATGTATACTGAAAATATCCAAAATTGAATCAAAATGCATTTCCCCATTTATCCATTTTACCTCACTTACCCAAAAACAATAATGAACCAGTATTTTAAGCATTATATATTGTTCCGAAAGAAAATGAAATAAAAATTTACTGCACTGACCGGATGTCCTTCCTGGTCAATCAGAAATTTTGTGAAATTCCATTTTATGTTGTCACCAAACAATCCACCTTTGGCATGCTTCAGAAAATCGAATAATGGTGCAGCATTTTTACCATTTACATCAATTTTACCGTATAAATCAGGTTCGAAATGAAATTTATTAGCAACAAAATTTTTCACTTCCAATTCACACTTTGGTTCCTAAAAATGTTATTGCTTTAACAACTCATTTTTACAACAAAATTTCACAACACTTCGTCTTCATCAATTTAAATCACACCCTAAATTTTCAAAAGAATTACTACAATCCTTCTGAAGGGGCAAGCAATACTAATGCCAACTAATTTTGGGTTTTGATCTGCAGTATTAAAAATTAATAACTCTGAATAGCAACAGCATTTGATGCAAATAATAAGGGCGACCCAAATTTTGTTTTTATTATCTGATTCATTCTAGAAGTGTAATGTCTGTGTTACAAATAACAAAATGATTCAAATATGTAGAAATATGCATATTTAGGCATTCTCTTTTTTTCCCTGTTTCTGTTTTCACCATCGGAAATTTAATTATCTAATCATCTTTTCTCTTCTTTTAACATTAAGCATACTAACTGCATGAATTAAATATGAATCAGCTTTAGCCTTGTCAGATATATGACTAAATTAGTTTAGAATAAATTGCTTATTAAACGATTTGATCGACGACTGTCAAAATTATTCCTTACTCTTTATGGTGTGAAAATGTAATGAATATAGCTAAATAATGACCACCAACCACTGTTTATGTTACTCATATAAACACTCTGAAATATGTTAGCGGAACAATCAATGAAGCGAATACAATTTTTAGAACAAACCTGTCCACCAAATTGGTTGCACGGGAATGCAGCTATTGCTAAACCTTTATCCTTGTAATGTTCCATCAGTTCTTTAAGCTCGGTATAATTGGAATTTGTCAAACCACATTGCGATGCGACATTTACAATTACCACTGGTTTACCTCTGCCACATTAACTATTATAATATGACAAAGACAAAACTAAAAACGACAGATGACTACGGATATAAAAGTCATGAAAGAAACATAAAATCTTCAAAATAGCAAGCTTGATCAAGATAGTTTAATCATTTATATCATTTCCAGGTAGTAAACCAATCCAAACTGTGTACACCAGCTCGTAATCTTTATTTGTTCCACTCGATGCTATTTGTCAGTAAAGCTACCATTAATTTAGGTTAACTAAAGCAGTTATAGCCAATTGAAACTTATTTTTAAATAAGTTTTAAATTGATGTTCGTTTTCAAATACCAACATTCAATTTTTGACTACCAACAATTACATAACATTTTAATATACGATCTCAAAAAAACAAGATCAATACGCTACGACTCACTGATAATATATTGAGATGATCTAAAGTGAGCGATTCCAGATCTGTTTCATTAAGCCAATAAAATATTGTGTCGAGCAATTTTTGCCAGTTAGGATTTCAAAAAGTGAACAAATTAATCCACTAACAAACCGGTATTTTTCGAGCGAAACATCTTTTCCTTCTGCATCTTTCACAGTGAAATCATAAATTGTTGTTGCTGAAGACATCTTTACAAGCGAACGAATACTACCACTAGTACTTTTATGCAAAACTGTAAAAAGTTGCATTCCTTCCAAAGTATACTTCCACAGTATCACTGTAAAAAGTGATACTGTGGAAGACAAAATAAACTAAACACCTGAGCACATCCCGCGAAACATTCATCGAAAACAACCCGAAAAATAGAAGATGCAATATTATTAAAGAGCTGCTAGAAGAATCAATATAGTTCTTAATAATTCGTTATTTCCATATTCTACTAGCCAACATTATTTCGGACATCGTCTTTAAAAGTGAAACACTATTAAATCAATTATAATGTTCTCAAGAAGCAACGAAAACAAATTTCTTTCAAATAAGATAAACATTAGCAAAGATCGGATTTGTGAATTCAATTTACAGTTTTCACCACACATATCCATTTTTATTTGGATAATAATACAAAAGAATATGCTTCGTGATTGCTCAGAGTGTAAAGGATGATGGTTAAATGGGCTTAGCATTGTCAAACATCAAAGCAGTAATTATGTAGCACAAAAGAAAAATTTTCTCAGCATATTAAAACTTGAAAAAAGCTTCAGCAACATTTCGCCTTCATTAATTACTGGATTCCATCCGCACAATGCTAACTCCAACTATGGTAAAATCGAATATAGGAAATGCAGAATACAGGTTCCTTCAGATAATCACCTGCCTTAATTGTTAATAGTGTCATCAGTAAGAACCATAAAAAAATGTCTTACCCATTAGTAAGTTGTCGATTCTTTAGTCGCTGGAACTTAGAGCATCACAAATTCTGTACCTAACTGAATCCTTTACCTCATCCAGAATAAATGATAAATAATGAGTAGTTTGCAGCTTTAGTACCATAAAGGTGCATCTCTAAGCAGAATCTGTCCTTAATAACATCTGATATACTTTGACAAACCTACATATTTAGTTAATTCATTACAACATATCTAAACTAATCAGTAATCATGTCAGTAAAATAAGTTAATACATAAAATTGGAAGAAAAAAAAAAAAAAAATTTAAAAATTTAAAGTGCTCTGGTAAAGAATAATAAAACATGACTAAGAAGCAGAAATAGGAAAGATTAAATTGTAAAGAAAAGTTACAATAAATATTCTTCAGTACTTGACATATAAGTTCACCACTAAATTTTTTTATCTTTTGTACCATGAGCAAGGGGTAAAAATGGGTACTTGAGAAAACGAGCATCAGTGAATCTGAAAAGTAAGAAATTTATAGAATTAACAATCAAGTCCATTAAAATGAGCACCATACATGAAGCCTTGGATATAAGAAGGATAAAACTGATATCAAAAACAATTACAGCTTTTTAGAGATATTTAACACGATCAATAAGTAATTCTTTATTGCCATTAGTGAAGCTGTTGGTAGATAACTTTCACCTAAAATGATTATAAAATTACTTAAGATATAAAACTTATAGTGTAAACAAGTAATAGATCCTAAATCAGGTTATATCCCGTGGTTTGGAAAGTTTGACTAATTTGATCATGATTAAGGGAATCCACAATCAAATTGCATTAATTTATCAAGAGGCATGTCAAATTTTCAAAATATGGGAGTATTTGAAATGTGGCTAATAGTAAAATGGTTTTCTTGATCGGTAAGTCGTACTTCGGAGATGAAACATCCACTACAGTAACAGTTGGTAAATAAAAGTTTAAAACAGCCAAATCTAATCCATATTTGCTTTTCGCAAGGGTTTGGGTAATGAAATTTTTTGAACAAATTAAAATTTATTTACTGGATTGTCATTTTGACAGATAAGAAATTTTATAAAATTCCATTTGATCTTCTCAACAAAACTGCTACTTTGTTTTTCTTTGAATGGGTATTTTCACCCCTAAATCGATTTTGACATAGATGTCAGGTTCATAGTAATACTTTTCCTTGACAAATTTTTTGATATGAACTCCACAGTTTGATTCTAAAACAAGAATAAATCTTGATTTAACAATCATTCCTTTGTTAATACAGCACAATCAATTGAGTAATGAATCAATTCTATGGATCCGAACATCATCTTAACGCATCATACAATTATTAAAGTAAATGAACATGGAAAATTCGTAAAAAACATGAAACTAATGCAGATTTTGAAAGAGCAATTTTCAATCAAGAAAGCCACGAGAATCAAATGCTACCGACTACTCTTCCATTTTTTTACTGGATTAATAAGCCAGAAAAACGAAGAAAAAAAAATCGTACTTGCGATCCGAAATGATTACATGAGAAACGAATATTTTATCTTGATGCGAACGATATAGAAAAAAGGAAAAAAATGCCATAGACATAACAAAGAAGTGCGTCATATTTGGTCACATAATCTATACGCACGCATACGTAAAGCAAACCTGTACTTATCTAGTCATATATCGTCCGGTACAGTTGCGATTCCGGTAAAGTGTGCAAACATAAAAGTAAGAATATCATTCCGTCAAAGCACACTTAAAAATAAAAACTGAAACAATGACAAATATTCGAACGACAACGAGAAAACCGCTCCACAAGCCATATTCTCCCCGAAGACTGTACTACTGGAATAGCAGCCGATGGCCTTAGGATATGTGGACAGTATGCAAAATTTAATGATTTATAATTGAAATGGAAATGAAAGAGATGGGTGAATGGTACCAGATGGAATTGTATAACAGTTTTGCAATGAGTTATTGATGAGAACAATGCATTAATTATAAGTTAAACTATAGGAAATCAGATAGTCCAGTAGGTAATGAATTCGAAAAACCAATTTCCTACGAAATAATATTCCTATTGCAGTCCTTCTTCCTACCATCTTGTCTTACTTTTCGTTTCTTCTTTCGTGCACAGATACTTTTACTTGCCCTTTTTCTCACTAATTCTTTTTTCATATCCAATTCTTTGACATTTTTATATACAGTACTTTTCACTTTCCTAACAGCGCTATTAGATCTCTTCATATTAAATAGGAAAATTAAAATTAAATTGAATGATTCAGTTTGAAATTAAATGGAGTTCATCATTATAAAAGTTGCATTTGTTGTAAAGGTTATGTAGGTCATCCATTTTAAGAATAACCATAAGGAAAATATGTAGGATCATCCATATAAATGAATCTTGCGTAATAGTATGCACGTAACACGTTGAGCATCTGTTGCTGATTGAAGAATGGTTAACAGATGAGATATAACAATATGACAAAATGTATAATAGCTAATTATGAAAGCTTTGGTATAATTAGCAGAGATTACAAAGAGGAGTGGGAATAATTTCAGAATATTTCATCTTTAAACAGTTGACAACCGCCCTATAATTTCTTCTTTCTACCTTCTTCCTTCTCTTCTTCTTTCGCCAATATTTCCGCTTAAACGATTATAATAAGCTTAAATCCGTATAGAATTTTACTAATATGATAGTTCTTCAAAAATAATTTCAGTGATTATTAAATGTTCAAAATAACAACTGAGAAGGCCGAATTTTCAGCGACCGTCTTTAAGTCCTCTAATATTGGCCAGGACTAATCAGTAGTCATTCAACTATTGATAATGCTGATATAAATGATGCACTTCTACTGTTCACGGAAATTCATCATTAAAGGGAATTGATTACACCGTTCATCCATCCATCTTCATTTAGTTGGTCTTATCACTTTTTTGCTGATAATATCTGATAACCTATCACTGTATCATTTGTGAAATATTCATTGTGCCTTTATCCTACAATCATTTGTTTTCTCTTTTCTTTTAAGTAATATTAGTTCAGTTGTATAATAAGTGGAAATACAGTGCATATTAAGCGCGGATAATTTAATTCCATGATTACCTTAGTTTTCACTAATTCCTTTCACTCAAAAAAATAGCTTGAAAAATTTTTTTTTTTTTTTGATGAATTTATTCTTTTGAAGAAAATTAGAAGAGGAAGAGAGACAGAACTGATTTGAAATTTACTGATTACAATTGGATGGTAGGGAAGGGAGAGCAAAGGAAACGGTCATTGGCATTTTTAGCATAGTTGTAGTAAAATTCTGGCATCCAAATACCGAACTTTGTACGTTCTCTCCCTTTTTAGCAACCAGACGTACCGTGTGTGTGTATGTGTGTGTGTGTGTGTGTGTGTGTGTGTGTGTGTGTGTGTATGTATGTGTGTGTATGTGTTGACCTTGCGCAAATTTCATCACTTATCAGTAATTCCCATTCAATTCTCCTTTAAATAATGATCATGCACACACACACACACACACACACACACACACACACACACACACACACACACACACACACACACACACACACACACACAACACACACACACACACACACACACACACACAGACACACACACACACCCACACCACACCCACACCCACCCCCACCCCCCCCCACACACACACACACACACACACACACACACACACACACACACACACACACACACACACACACACACACACACACACACACACACACACACACACACACACACACACACACACACACACACACACAGACATATGTATACATATGCATAATTCTTGTACTATTAGTAATTTGCCAGCAAGGATAATATCTTTGTTAATGGTTAAACCTTTTTCACTGGCTGAATGTTTCGTGAAATTGAAACATAAGAGTGAATGGTTTGCAAACTAAACTATCAATTAAAGTATTCAATAGTTCGTTTAGCGTAAGGATTATTGACTGAATGGTATAAAAGTGTGTTAGTTTCTAATTTTTTTTTTTTTTAAACTATTCCTTCCAATGACACTGATTGCATTCAGGGAAGAAACTTAACAATGCCAGCTGAAAACATCAATCACTGATAATCGTCTTTAGGCGATTATTGCCTAGAGGTGTCCCTCTGTACAAATCATTTTTGGCTTTTAGAAATGATAACTTTTCCTATAAGTAATGTTTTAACCAATGAAAGAAGTGATACTTTCAAATGACAATACCAATGCTTACTCATTTTAAGAAAATGCCTGCAGGAGTTTTTTGTCCCCTTACATAATTTACCTATTTTACATATTTACCTATAATATTGTGCCATCGATAAATAAGAATTTGCAACTAATCACTCCATTTCTTTTCTCGTTCCTAAAAATGGTTGTCAAATTAATTTCAGTAGATAAACAACATTTGATAGAGTATTATTGTTTGATGCTGAAATTAATTTGCCTGATGAAGTGAAAATATCTCTATTTTGTCATTTTCATGTTGTGAATAATAATGTTCTTCATGTAAGGTGACAGTTTGCCCTCATTAAATTGGCCGAAAAATAGAAGAAAACTTGTTTAATTTGAATGGTTAAGAAGGAGATTATTGTGATATAATTATTACCTTGTCAATAGTTTTGCACCTTCTTTTCCATGATATGCTTCTTCCTCTTATTGCTTACTCATCCTTCTCTTCGTTTTCAAATACTCTTTTTCCCTTTGTAGTAATTAATTTTTGTCTTCTTTTGTAATTTACTTAAGAGAAATGATAAAAATATTTGCAGTCAAGAAGGATATTTTTTCTTTTTTTTTTTTTGAAATAGCATATCACTGTCACTCTAATTTCAACTTTTTTTTACAGCTGTAATCATTTCTCTGAAATATATGTTTATGAAGAAAGCTCATTAAATTGGTTTCATTCTTAAAACATCACCGTTAACAGTCATTGGCACTTCATGCACATAATAATATTGTTTAGCTTTAGAAAAGAAGCAAACAATATTGGCTATTAAAACATTTTTTTTCATTTTCATTCGGTGATTAAGTCTTACAGAGATTTAAAAAAAAAAAAAAACTCAAAGAAGTTAAATTTTGATTAAATAATTCCCGCACGATGTTTTTTCGAAAATAAGCTTTTGCCTCTACTCATGACTGCCTAATTGTTATTAATTTTGTGGTGGACGAAATTGTAATTTAACTTGTTGTTCTGAGATGATTTTTTATATGATTTCAATTTTTGTAAACCCAACAAAAGTTATATTTATCCATTTACTTTATTGTTTATTCATTTACTCATTTGTTTACTTATTCGTCCACTTGACTTTTCGTTACTGATGCCTCTTCATTCACTGCATCGAAATTCATCTGTTGTTCATTCACTTATTTGTCTATCTTCTCCACTCGACTCTTGTCATGATCATTATTTAAATTAAATTTTACTAATAGAGATGGTAAAAGTTGAGACGTATGGTGACCTTGATGAGTTATTAATTTAAATTCAGATACATAGGATGTCTCTGTGTATTATTGTGGGACGTTTGTAAAAAATGTTAATTGATGAGATGGAATTTTAATTTACACGCATATTTATGTATTGTATGATAGAGAAGAATGAATTTTACAAACAGGTAAAGAGAGAAAGAAAGAGAGAGAGAGAGAAGAATGAAAGTAATCAGTCTGAACAATCTCGGTGAGAATGTAAGTATATTATTATTAGTTCAGACTAGGCAAAATTGTGGAAGAAAAAATAGTGTGATATGGCATTCATTCATTTTCTTATCCGTTAATTATCCTAATTAAAATTCATTCCATTCCCATACCATATACAACATCTGTAAATTGAAATAATCAAATGAATAATTTGAGGTATTCCTTGGAGTACCATATAAAAATAAACATTCATCCATCATTATCATTCAACCAGGTTTAATCAGCAACAGTGACAGCCACAACAACAACAATAATAACAACAACAACAGAATGTAAATAAATAAATGTTTTTTTCATTCGCTCCCTCCATCTCTTTTACCCACCCTTTTCACTCATTCTTTCCCGAGATATTTAAGGAAGAATGCAAAAAGAGGTGGAGGGAATGAGCTGTCATTGCCTGCGGTAATCATCCATCAGTAATTGTTACTACTGTTACTGTTCCCTTCCTGTTCATTTTCCCAAACCCTAATTAATTCTTTTTCCCCCTTATTTTATTAAAAAAAAAAAAAACGATGATAGCGAAATTGTGAGAAAATGCTTCAGTTTTTTCTACGTTCATTCAGATATTGCCCGAATTATACTTGTTCTATCAGTGATATTTGATCGATTGTCACAATTACCATTCCTTCCTAAAAAATGAAAAAAAAAGGAATTTCTGATTTCCTTTCTTTTTTCTTCGTTTTCCCAAAAAAAAAAGAAAAGTTGTAAAATTTATAAATTCATTTGTAAATTTACTTATATATTTAGAAATACTCCAGCGATTGACTTTTTCATCATTTGTGAGTACTTTAAGATGAAACGACAACACTCAAACCACTTCATAACTGAATGAAGAATGAAACTATCGGATCATTAAATCTAATAGCAATCTAAATTGTAATTTGCCTTTTTGTCGCCATATGATGAACTCTTCTTTCTTTAGAAGGAAACAGCAACAATAGATGTACCATCCGACGTCACTCTACTATTCAGCTACACCACCTTGCTGCACTGAAAACAACAGTTGCATTGATTTCGGAATTTATGGAATTGAACAGAATGACTGCTATTTGGATTTGAACTGTATTGAGCCATCGTTGGTACCTGAAGAAGAGCAAACATATGTCTGTGCCACTGCTGCATGTAACAATGTTATTACAACAACGAGTAATACTAACGAAACAGTAGTGACAGACACTACGAATCAGGTGACCAGCCGGACTTCACGTCGGACGATCAGGAAAAAGCGCCCAAAAAAGGATCCAAATGAACCTCAAAAGTAGGACGCTTTGTACTTCTGTTGAACTTTTTCTGAACTTTGATATTTCAAATTTCGAATTGCACAATGAAAGAAACTTATTGGTATGAACAATATTAAAAAAAAAAAATGAAACTAATAACTGTCTGGAACAAAGTCATAATTTCACTGCAAATGCTTTCCTCCATTTCAGGCCTGTTTCAGCATATGCTTTATTTTTCCGTGATACACAGGCTACCATAAAAGGAAGGAGTCCAAATGCTAGTTTTGGAGAAGTCTCGAAAATTGTAGCATCAATGTGGGATTCGTTAGATTACCATGCAAAGAGCGTTAGTTTTTTCTTAGTTTTTCATCAGAAATTTGAAATAAGAAAGTTAAATTCTGAAATTTTGTGAAAAGTTTCCTTCAAATTTTAGAAGCAGTAAATCACTAATTTGCGCTTTTCAGCTGTACAAACAGAGGACAGAAATGGCTAAAAAGGATTACTTAAAAAAGCTTGCTGCTTATCGTGCTCAGCAAATATCACAGGTAGATGAAACATAACCTGTACATATGTATAGATATAAGCATTGCAGAAAAATATAAGTTGCTTAGAGTTTGTGATATCATTAAGATATTTGTTGTACTGAAATCAATAATTTTAGGAATTTATTCTAGAATGAAACAGTTGGACCGGTACCGGAACCAGAAAAAGAAGAACTACCAGCAATGGAAATAATGAATTCTGCAAATTCATCAAGTGAAAAGCAAGAAGTATCTACTGCAATAGGTGAAATGACTCTAGCAAATTTAATAGCTCGTCCACCCTCAACAAACTTTGCATCGTTTTATCTCCATCACCGGTTCGTAAAATTGAATCTATAAAAAGTTATTCGTTTTATCCATTTCTTAACTTTAAGATCTAAAAAGTCATCTTCCAATTCTGAAGCATAATTTCTCAGCAAACTAAAAGCATTTTCACAAAATTCGTACTATCCATTTCATCTGCAATCCGTATACCCTCAACTTCATCTATCGGAATTTAAAGTAGTCCCTGTTTATATATATATTTTAATTAATTAATTAATTAAATAAATCAATTTCGAAATTCATTAGTATTTATTTATTTAAGTAATTAGTTTATTCATTTATCTGCTCATTTTTAAATAACTGATTAAATAAATGAACAATAATTAGTCAATTAATTTAAATAATTAATTAAATATTAAATAAATGGTTAGAATAACTAATTAATTCACGTGTTTATTTTAATTTACATTTTATTTATATTTATTTACTTCTCCCGATCAATAGCCTTATTCATTTATGTTTTAATTTTAAATATTCGGTGGCGTTTGTCTTTAAATTTTAAAGCAAATGGCTTTTCAAAATATTGTCATTCTCATACTCAGATTTTATCCCAGAAAATAGTTTCCAATTTAGTTCACGAAAATGGAATCCAAAATTTTCGTTTGAATCAAAAAACGGAAAAGAACATCATTGGCAAAATATAATGAGGTATCGAAACAGTGGATCGCGAGAGTGATCTCAACTGGAAAACGTCTGATGAACTGACAAACACTTCCAAATCAATGTTGTTCAGTTCTGTTTCATGAATTCTCCTTTAAATAATTGCTGTTCCTTAAATTGGCTATTATTTAATTTAGTAAACATATTTTATTTTGTTTTGAACAGAAGTAAAAGATTGAGAGAAACTTGCTGTTGCTTTAACAATTTTACAATCTTGATGAATATCATCGTTGGCTTGATGATATTAATTTTGGAGAATTCAGGAGTACTTCTAGTTCCATTATTTTTTTACCTTCTCATAACTTTATTATTATATTCATTAGTGATATTAACTCTGAATCTTTCATTCCTTATCATATAATAGTGATAACCTTTCATTTTCACAGAGACTAATTCATTGTATTGTTTCTAAGATAAAAGTTATGAAGCAAAAGATGCAAACTTGTCATCCACTTCAGAATATTTCATACTTGAGAAATTTGCATACAGGTAAGTTAATATAAACCTGAGAAGGCTCACGTTTCATACACTCTTTGATTTACTTAACTGAAAGTGCAACAATGAATTTGTCGCATATAACTGAAGAAATACATTCGAGCAGCACTGAACAATTTTTATTATTCAATTTCACTGTGTCCTTTCTAAGATTTCCTTTTTGCTGTTTATTATTAGCAAAGAAATTTCTTCTCTCCCAGATAGCATCAATCAAGCAAATAGATGTAGTAGGAATAACTCAATCTTAACCTTTCTCCATCCATCCATCCATCCATCCATCCATCCATCCATCCATCCATCCATCCATCCATTCCTTTCTTATTTTCAATCTATCGTCTAAACTTTTCGCTCAACTCTGTATAATCATATTAAGCAGATGATTTATTGGATGATGTGATTTTTTAATTGCCACAAATCAGGAAAGTACTTTTGTACTTTTTCCTGCAATCCGATATTCTTCTATTTCTCCGTTTCCGGTACTTTCAGTGATGTAAATCAACATCAGACATTAATTCATCAGTATCCAATGCTCGACTTCGATTTCGTCCCTTTGATTATCGAAGTGATTGGCATTATAGCTACTGTAGCTATGTGTCTTCTGATGCATTTCATTATGCAGAAATTCTACGAAGACGCTGATCGGCCAACATTCCATCATTTAATTCATAATCAATATTACAGTAAACAACTGGATAAATTTTTGAATGAACAAGATAAAAAGAATGAAACGGCACGTGATCTATTCTCGAATAAACGTGATACCGTAAAATTCATACGTGAATGTTTGTCTTGTACATTGAAAGCATGTATATATGGCATTTTTCTGGAGTATTCAGTTTACAAAATCTAAAAATTCCGAATTAATATAACACCATCAAAATTTTAATTTTATGATGCATTAAATGTTCCGAATTTCTGTCTTTGTAAATCAAAATATTTTAACGTTTTGACAAAATTTTCTGCTTCCTTCAAATTTCAAACTAATTAGTATTTTACGTTTGCTCCTTTGAACTTTGCATTTCAAGTTAGATTTTTTTTTTTTTTTTTGTGTGTTTCAGTTAAAGTTTCACAATTTTGGAGCATTTTTGTTAAAAGTGCTACTTCGCTTACAATATAACCATGGCATTTTTTGTACATTTCTGCTCTGCTAATATAAAAAAATATAGTAAAACTTTGGAAGCAATCCTCCATTTTATATTGGACAGTTTCTGAAACTTTGCAGCAAACAATTGAGAAATTATCAAATGAACAAACGAAAAAAAATGAAAAAAACAAAAGAAAAGATGACGTCTACATTCAGACCACGTCAGGTATTAAGATTACAATTTCTCAGAAAAATTTCTAATTTGTAGTGTTTTGGAAATGATACAGAAAAGAAGGAATAGAAGTTGTCACTTGTCACACTAAACTGGACATTATAAATAAAAATGATATGATGATCTAAAGTTTGTGTAAAAAAAAGAATGCTAATTTTGAATAGAGAATTGAATTGAAGGATCATAAAGAAAAGCATTTGAATTTTTTTTAGATAAAACAGGCAAAAACAAAATTAGGCGTTGAGCATATAAAAAATACATCTTTTTAGTTAGAATGACACAATCTCTCGTTTTTTTTGAACTGGAAGCCATCACCTACATATAATCTAGGCATTACATGAATATTTCCCATTCTATGCCTTCCGGAAAATGACACCGTGTTCCCATTATTATCTTCTATTTTAAAATTCTTAGAAATATTTTTACAAATCTCGAAGCCTTCTTTGTCTGCTGTGAAAATTGAATTTTTCAGATGAAATCTGATATAAATGTGCTGCACACTCCAAACTTCAATCAGTAATACTTATTTTGAAGTAATTATTCTGACAGAATTTTCAATATCAATTAATGAAATCAATACGACTGTTGACATATACGGCCCTGAACTACAGTACTTCCTATTATCAATATGAAATTAAAATTTTACTTCATCAGAATCCCAAAACAAAAAAAAAAAAAAAGAATACATTTTATCAAATAAAATACTCTCCACTTTACAAAATTCCATTTGTATGATAGCAAAGGTACAATCAATTAAATGTAATGCCAAATGACATAAAAGGAAAAATACTCTGAAAGATTTTCTCGCATGGTGTAATGTATGCAAAAGAGGTAAAATGAACACTGTCAGTAATTTTTAGAAATGACATAAACTGTAAAAGGGTTTGAAGGTAAGCAAATTCTAGAATTTCTTATAATAATTTATCATAAACAAAATGTTCGAAGTCAGAGCCAATTAATAGTTCCGAGAGATTCAGCGGAAAGTGCGCACTGGGATCGTATAGCTTATTGCGCACATTATTTGCTCTTAATTTAAAGTTGTCCTAAATATTATGCTTAAAGCTTGACACACACATACATGTATATATATACATATGTACATGTTTTGTCTTTCGTGTAAGGATTTCAAAAAAGTGTGGAATATGGGAAACTTCAGAGAATTTTTGACTTAATCTTTGCGACATTACCTCTAAGGTATGGAATTACCTGATCATAAATCAAGAATGATCAATCTCAATTTATGAATGAATCTGTTTGTTCATTCTTTATTAATAGTAGAAATCTCTCCGATGACTTAGAAAATAACAAACTTAAAAGTTTGTTATTGACATATTTCCCAAAGATTCTTAAAAAACAACCACCTACATACTAATGCTTCTTCCTCAAAATCAATGCAAATGTTTTTTTTTTTTTAAAAAAACAAATAAACAAACTCTGACATGCAACTGCTTTCATGCAGATTTGTTACAAAGTGCTAAATGAAATTTGTTCACATTCAAAATACAACACGAAACAGAATTATGACAAACACCAAAAAGAAATCCAATCGATTTTGATCCCCAGGCACCATAAGTAATACATCTTAGATATGACTACTCTTTTGTTTAAATAAGGAATCACAACCATTCCAAAATAATAAAGTCAAAAATGATATGTAACAGTTTCCTCAACGCATATTTGCTGCAAAAGTGCAAAGTTATACAACGCCTGCATAGTAGTGAGCAAACATCAAAACTAAGTCAATGGCACGATCACAAGTTTTACTCTTTTATAAAAAAAATTTATTCAAAATGTCATTAAAATTTCTTAGAGTTTGCAACAATTTACAAATGAAAATCAACAGATACAAATTTGTTTCTAAGATAAAAATCTGTTTCTAAAACTTTTCAACTAACTACAATGCAAATTTATACATATTTCTGTAGCACAAAGTTTGCCGGAACAGAAAACTTTCAATTTTTTTTTTTTGTTCCGAAAAAAATTAAGACATTCGAGCAAATTATTTAGAATTTTTCGAGAATTTGCACATTTGGCCCTATTAAGTGAGCAAAACACAACAATCACTATCGCACTTTTTAAAATAATTATTGCGACATTGACAACCGGCTACCGAATTCAGAAATAAACCAATTATTGGAAAATTGTAGGAATCTATTACTGTCAAACTGTCGTAATGCTGTCGATATGTTTTAAAAAACAAAGAGGAAATGATGTACGAATAACTATAAATTTTAATAAAATATTAAAAATCTGTATGAATGTAGCACTTCGAAATATGACGTTAAGAACCACTAACGAAAAAGTTGGAGTTCCCAGAAAAAACTGCCAATATCACAACCTATGGTATAGAGAGTGAAAAATGCTAACTAAAAAGGTGCAGCAATTTTCATCAATAATAACGGACATTATACAACAGTATAATTTATATTTATCGTTTTTCTGATAACCCTACTCAGAATAAACCTTAAATCTTCACGCATTTCACATTCCACCAAACGGCACATAGTTATCGCATAATCTTGACCAAGATCAATGAGCTAGAATAAAAAAGAATGAAATGAAAAAAAAAAATTTCATAACTGTATATAAAAATCATAAGGAAATATAAAAAGTCGATTTACTAGAAAAATTCATCAATACCCTCAACCATCCACTAATTGTTGTAACGGAAGGAATGCTGAGATATAATCAAAAGCATCTAATAAACAAACGTATGTCATTTTAAAGCCAAAAAAATTTAATTAAGCAGTTTAGAAGATGGAAAGAACATCTAAAACTACAAACTCGTCTTCTTTTATTCATGTTATCATTGGTACCTGCGATGAAGAAAGTGCATCTGTTTTTTCTAGCAATAAATGCACCACCGGAATCCAAGCTTGTCGATGTTGCTCGGATTTTAATTCTGAATAGTAATCGAGCGTGTTCTCTACCACCCTTCAAAACATGTTGTTAGTTAAAAAACTGGTGAGCTTTGGAATCTTTATTTTGTAAGAATCCTTTCCATCCCAATTTCTTTTAGTCCTATTTCAGAAACATATAAAACATGCAACCTTATTTGACAAACTTCAACTATGAGATTTCATCTTCCACGATACATCTAAATTTCATTTAACTCGATGTTATAAATAAACAGAAGCCACTGCTGAAAGAAATAAAACATATATTAGAAATCAAATAAGTATATGCAAACCTCAACAATTTCATT